CCTGCCCGTTGCTCTCTTCAGATTAACGGAGAGGCAGTGGAGCAGGTGGAGAAGTTCAAGCACCTCGGAATTGAATTTACTAGTGATGGAAAATTGGAGGAAGAGATCGACCGGCGAATTGGAGTATCCAGTGGTGTTCTGCGTGAACTGGCCCGATCCATTGTTACTAAAATGGAGCTCAGTCTGAAAATTAAGCTCTGGGTATTCACGTCGATCTTTATCCCCATGCTTAACTAGGGTCATGAATCGTGGACCATCACTCAAAAACTTCGAACCCGGATACAAGCTGCTGAAATGGGCTTTCTTAGAGGAGTCGCTGGCCTTGCGCGTCTCGACATGGTCCGGAATAGACATCCGGAAGAACCTTGGAATACAGCCTTTGCTTCTCCAGATTGAGAAGTCACAGCTGCGATGGCTTGGGCTTCTGCTGAAATGGGCCTTCTTAAACGGGTCGCTGGCCTTACGCGTCTCGACATGGTCCGGAATAGTGACATTCGGAAGAGCCTTGGAATACAGCCTTTGCTTCTCGAGATTGAGAAGTCACAGCTGCGATGGCTTGGGCATGTGTTGCGAATGCTATTAGAAAGGAAGGCTAAGCAACTGTTCCTTGGAAATCCGACCGGCAGAAGGCCCAGGGGATGGCCAAGATTAACCTGCTGCAAATATATGAAAGGTGTCTGTTCCAGACTCCATTTGTCCTTTGCCGAAGCTCAGACTCTGGCGCAGGATCGGAAGCGTTGGATGATCTGTCTGACACTGATAAATGCATTGGTATAAGAGAGGTGGAGGCGAGAAGGTTGCTGTTTGCAGACGAATTGTTTTATTCGCTTCTTCTGATACTGCTCGATCTGATCTGCAGCCGAGTCCGAGATGGTCGGCATGCCTGTGAACGTATCTAAAATGAGAAACTTAGTGCTTTCTGGTTCTCCTGCCCACTGCTCTCTTCAAGTAGACGGGGAAGTAATGGTGCAGGTGTAGGCGTTCATGTACTTCAGGGTCGAGTTTGCTGGTGATGGAGAATTTGAGGAGATAGACCGGCGGATTTGAGTAGCTAGCAACGTTCTGCATCAACTAGCCTGAACCGTTGTGAATAGGCGGAGCTGAATGTGATGACCTAGCACTCGGTGTTCAAATCTGTCTTCATCGCCTTGCTCATCTACGGTCATGAGTCGTGATCCGTGGCTGAAGTACCTCGTTTCTGTGGGCAAGGGGCTGAAACTAACCTTCTGAAACGAATCACTGTCCTCATTCGTCTCGATAGGTCCGGAGTACAGAATCTGCGAGTACTTTGGCGTACAGTCCCTGCTTGTTGAGATTGAGAAGTCACAGCTGAAATATTGGTGCACGTGTTGCGTGTGGTGTGCCTCTAGAAATGAAGGCGAAGAAACTACTACTTGCCCGGTCAACCGGCGGACTGCCAAGATTAACTGCTGCAAATATATCGAAGGAGCCTTTTCCAGACTCGGATTGTCTTCTGCCGAAGCTGAGACGCTGGCACATAGTCGGGAAAGTTATAGGCACTGTCTGCTGTGTCTGCCTCCATGACTCCAAAGAAGAAGCTGTCATGAAAAATAAATGAATATTAGCTTATGTAAAAAGATTTTTCTAGTTTAATGAATTATATACGTTGATACTATTCCAGGGTGTGCGCAATTATTGTTCAATCCGGAGTAGAACTAAGATTTTGCCTCTCAAGTTGACTAGCGGACTGTGGGTAGGGTCAAACCTGGTATATTTTCCTCTCATTTTTATCGATGACGAGCTCTATTTTGTTTCCGGAATTGCAGCTATATTTGATGCATTTTAAGTGTTTTATTTAATTATATAAGGTTACATTAGTATGATGATGATTTTGTAACGAGAGATATACGCGAGTTCAAGAAGTGTGCATTTATTGATCTATATGGATCACGATCACATAATCTAGTTAGCGAAAGCCATGCCTGACTGATCTTGCATGTTTCTTACTGACTGTTAATCTCTTCTTTTGTCCGCTTCACACTGACTCCATCCACGATCCTCCTTTTCTGCCAGTCGGTTTCCCTGCGAACGATGCTTAGTGCATTCCATTGCAGGCATGGTATTTTAGCATGGCTGTGTTTGAAAATGGCAGACATTGTTTATCTGCGCTGCTGGAGCAATCCGTGTGTTCACTGATTTCGTTCTACAGCTTTCTATCAGCTTTTTCTTTGTAGTTGTCTCCCCACAAACATTTTGTCCGTTATACTGCTCTGGTATCACCTTGCTAAGGTATTATGTCTTTGCCATGGAGGAGGTTGTCCAGCTAATTTGGGGATCTACAAGCCGTGGCTATCCTGTATTTAATAATGACGCACTTGATTCTTTTATTTAAACTCTTTTGACATGGAATGATAACGAATACGAGATGTTCGCTGAGAAACGGATGCAAGAAGGGAAGTCAATCGAGGAGCTGACAAGAAAGAATGTTCAACTCTGTCGAGCATAAAACAGTGTAGACTGAACTGGCGGAGTGGAGCATCGTTTTTCGTGTGTGTTGTAGTCATCATCTATAGCACAACCTTGCAAACCCGCAAGTTGTTTTAGACTCATGATGTTCGCTGCTTGATGCTTAGCATCTTGATATTGAAAACGATTAATATCCAGGAAGAAAGGATTCTTCCTCGACAGCAGATTACCATTTAAAAAATACTTCAGGTTTTTGATTCTGTGCAAGCAGTTCGACAAGTGCTCGAATAATTCATGACTCAGGGCATTAAATACAACAGATGGTACAACAGGTTATTGCCAACGCGTTACTCTGCATAGTCCGCAGCATCATCTGGGCTAGGCTGAGTACAAAGGACTGCTTGAAGGCATTTATGTCCAACAAGTGAACAGTACCAATTTTTTTAACTCGCTCATCCTACACAATCAAAACGTCATTAAGCTGATTGAACGGAATAACTAGCAAAGTATAACGTTCACATTAAAATCAATCGGATCTCTGTCATGTTGACCCAGTTTTGCATGTTACTTTTTTCATTGCGCCCCAGCTTTAATTAATAACAGAAAATGTTTATTCGTTGCATATTTGGTTTTTCTTTGTCAGTATGTGTAAAGAGTTCTTTATCAGAAAACTTGATTTAGTGTGGTATTTGTCAATGACAAACATTAGTTTGACTGTGAAAGAGTACCCTCGGTTATCGCATGCTGGGCAATATCAGAATTGTCAGTCTAGATACCTTGAATACAAGGTAAGCCGCAGCAAGGTGCTCTTTTCTGCGGATATTCAATTTCAGGTTGGTCTTTCCAATGTACACCTTGTTGCAGTATCTACACTGAACTACATTTAACATTTCTTCCGTGGTAAAACTGAAGTAATTTTTAAAATGAAATGCTGCCCAATGTTCTGTCAGTCTTGCAGTAGACCCTAAGCCCCATTTCATTATGGCACTTCGTGATACATCGGACAAGAAGGGTAAAATTTCTATGGATCCACATGAACTGACCATCTTTAAGTTTGAGGCGGGGTGCAAAAGTTCATCATCAACGGTCCTCCTTCTGTAATCTTTCCTTAGAAATACTTGGTGAAGATGTTGTATTTCTGCGTTTAGGCCGGAAGTGTTGGTGCAGATCTCCGTTAAGTTTCCTCTGCCAACTGATGCGCTGGGCGGTCTTGTGCTGGCCATTATTTGGCTCCCAACTCCGCAGTTGTCGAGCCAGCGGCGTTTAGTCGCTTGCTTGCACGTTGTCGAACCATGCCAACCTTCGGTCTTTGCACAAACCCGTATTAGTTTGAGATCGGCGAATGCGAGTACATGGTCGTTTTTCACACGATCTTATTAATG